AGAGACGGGGTTTCACCGTGTTGACCAGGATGGTCTCGATCTCTTGACCTCGTGATCCACCCGCCTCGGCCTCCCAAAGTGCTGGGATTACAGGCTTGAGCCACCGCGCCCGGCCAATTAATCAATTTTTAAGTGTTCAGCTTATCTAATTAAAATATAACATCCCTCTCTCAAAAAAAAGCAACAAGCTTTTACATTGCAGGAGACACAAATGCGATCTAAAAACATTTAAAATGAAGGGATAGTCAAAGAATGACCAGGCAGATATGAACAAAATAAATACAGGAATGCAAATAATAATATCAAGCAAATGAATTCATAGCAAAATGCCTTACGGTAAAGTAAGTATTGTTTTAACTGATGTAGGAAATTAAGTGGAGAACAGAAAGTGGTTATTAGTATTTTCTAATCAATCAATATAGCATCCAAATATAAAAAGCAAAAGCAGTTAGAAATGAAAGAAAAACGTGACAAAACTACAATCCTTCTGGAAGATTAAAACTTCTCCTTCAGGAATGCACAGATCAAGAAAACAAAAACAAGTAAGGATATAGATTAGAATAATACAATTAACAAATTTGACTTAATATACATAATTCCATGTGTATTAACAAAGAGGAAATACCTGGTTATTTTTCAAATGCTCCAGGAAGAATTAAAAAAGTTGGTAGCATGCCCTTACAGTACTTATAATCGAACAGCAAAGTCCATTTAATCAAGTCTATTTAAAAGCATCCAAAATAAGAATCCTAACCACAGAATTAACATTGCTCCTCAGCAAACAGTACTGTTACTGATAATAAAATGATCATAAATTCTTCTTTCATTCTGAATGATGTTACTGGATTAAATACAGATTATGATGTCTCAGGTCAATAGTGTTTTGCTTTTGACCTAACCAAACTAAATATAAACTATCAAGAGTCAGAATGGATATTCTGTTGTTATTCTACCATCGTTGATTTCCTCACCATGATTATACTGTGTTGTGTCTTATTTGTCCCAATAGGGATCAAAGCCCAGAAAGAGGTGAGTTTTGGGGAGCAACCCATCAAAGCCAGAAGGAAGGCAACTGAGGAAGGGTCAGGAAACTGGTTACATACAAGGTTGAGCGAATAGGTAAATATATTGAGCCATGCTTCTTGCTGATGGAGAAGGAGATGAGCCCTACAATAGTGGACTGAAATTGGATATATCTATGTGAACTTACAGTTTAAATACACATAGAGAGAAATAAAAATAAATATAGATTTAATGGGGTATGTACATATGTGTGCACATATTTCCTAGCCTATCCACTGAAAGTGACTGAAACCAGTGACACCCCAATAGCAATGATAGCTAACTAAAGCCAGACCCTGGTTTCTACTGGTAAAAAGAACCAGGGCTCAGGCAAAAAGGTACTAAATGAGTCTGGAATAATTTCTGTGAGGAAATAAGAAAATCCTCAAAGAATGATGAAAAAATGTCAGCAAGATACAAAAGCTAGCTTGAAGAGTGCTCTAAATAATCAATTTGGGGCAATATGCCTATAAAATAAATGATAGTAACAGACTATATAATGGATTACGCATGTGTGTGTGCATGTGTTATGTATGTGTGTGCATATACTCATATATGTTATATATTACTTCAACTTAATATAAATAAATGAAGAGGTTCCTAGATTATGGTACCAACTAGTAAATGCTGAAGGAATAACTGTTAGAAAAATCATAATCTGACAATTATAAAAATAAAGAATAATCCAAGCAAGAAAAATAAATAAATGTTAAAACCAGTGAATGACAGTAGGATGCCAATAAATGTTAAGAAATGAGAATTTGAATTAGAAAATATGGTAACTTACTGGCAACCATCAGAACAAAACAATAAATCAAGTAAGAAACATTGGCTCAACAGAAGCTGAAGCTAATGAGTGAATGTTAGATAAGAAAGGGGATATTTATGGGAGTGCATCTTTCCCCAAATAATTTCTCATCACAAAAAGCAAAAGGATAACTTTACAGTAGAGGCATCTTACTCGAGTTAACATCACTAGTGATAAGACAAACTGGAAACAGGTACTACTGGATGACCCTTACTTGTATGATATGTTTTTCAAAAATTTTTGACCTCAAACTAATTGTAAGAGCGCACGCACGCGCGCGCACACACACACACAACTCAAAGGAAGGGACATTCTGCCAAATAACTGTCCTGTAATCTCCAAAAATGTCAAGGTTATAAAAGTCAAAGAAGGGCTGAGAAAGCCTTCTAAACTAAACATGGAAGGGGCATGACAGCTAAATCTAACATGTGACCTCAGATTGGGTCCTTCTGCTATAAATGCAAAAGACATTTCTGAGACAGAGAAACACAAATTGGGTCTCTTGGTGAAAGTTATATATGGGCATTCTTTAGAATGTTCTTACAATTTTTTTGTATGTTTCAAGCAAACAAACAAAAAGATCTTATCTGACCTTTTTGGTGCTTTCACTTCTTCATACAAATCCAGGCTTTCACCTGTTACCAGTTCCTTCAACCTAAAAACATTAACATTTCGGGTCTGCTGGAGCCAAACACTTTTCTCAACATTAGCTTGTTTGAAAATGTCTGGCAGCATCATCATCATTTGGAAACTTAACAGAAAGCTCCAGCCCAGATCTACCAAGCCAGAAGCTCTGGGAATCTGGACCAGCAATCCACATTTTATTAGTAACATGTCTACCAGGTGATTCTGATGCATGCTAAAGTTCACAAACCACTGCTTTAATATAGTTATTTTAAAGTCCATGTCTAGTAGGACCCCATCTGAAATGTGCAGCCAGCTCACAGGGTCCAGGGGGGACTTCACCCACTCAGTGCTGTGATTCAGATCCTGTGCTTACCTCATCCCTCCTGCAACCCATGGTCCACGAGAGCCCTGCCAGACTGAGGGGCACCATGGGTAGTCATGCAAATCTGAGCAGCGGCTCCCTCCAGGCAAGGCAAGTTGTCACAGGGACCTGGGAGG